TCTCCGTTCGGGTCTTCCGTCTTGGCGCCCTCTTGGAGCCATCTTGGGTGCCTCTTGGCCTGTCTTGCAGGCGTCTCGGGCCGTCTTGGGTCCCTCTTGGGCCATGTTGGGAACCTCTTGGTGGACTTGGGGGCGCCTTGGGGCGATCTTGGGGGCCTCTTGGGCCGTCTTGGAGCGTCGGGAAGCGGAAGAGGCGAGAACGTCAAACATCTGTCAAAAACCCAAGGGAAATCGGTGCTACTGGGGGCCTCTTGGGGCGTCTTGAAGGCCTCATGGGTCGTCCAGGCGTCTTGGACAGATTGTTCGGCGATTCGGGGCCCTCTTGAACCGTCTTGGGGGCCTCTTCGGGTACTCTTGGCCCGTCCTCGGACTGTTTTGGGACCCGGGACCCCCTGGGGGGAGTCGTATCTGGGTGGCGACCCCCCCCGGAACTCCCCCGCGATCCCCCTGGGCCCCCCCCCCGAGGGGGAGTCGTTTCTGCGTGGCGACCCCCGCTGGGACCCCCCCCCAACGCGGAAGGGGTAAATGGGAAGGGCCTTCTCTTCGATTGAAATACGACGTTGCTCAAGATTGCTTTGGCTGGCACGCTTGGGGTATGGGGCCCAAGAAATGGGGGGGAGCGGCGACGAGCCCAGGGAAACGGGGGCTGTTGGGATATGGGACGACCGCGGCGACGACCGACAAATGACGGAGACGACGACCCGAACGGACAAGCCCCCCCCGCACATGCCGACAGGGTCGGCGGATTTTCTGGGGTCCTAACGAGCTCAGGCCTCCCGGCCGCCTCCAAGCTTGAGCCAGAGGCTACGGCAGCGAGTAATGAAAGAACGGGCTCCAGAGGAAGGAAGCAAGCACTGGGCCACCCACAGGGGCGCACCTCGGACGGGGCTAGGACGAGGACAAATCCGTCACAGAGAACAGGACATATTTGTGGGGTGGGTGCAGTGCGACAGCAGCGGCCTGCGCCCTTGGCTCTGACCCAACGGCGACGTTGTCGGCGACGACGACGCACCGCTCCACCAGAGGAGCCGCCCGCCGCCGCCGCTCCATCGGATGAGCCGCCCGCCCTTCGTGGCCGCGGGCTGGCACCAGTCACTGCGCTGGCGGCGCAGGCGGCGCAGGCCGCGGGCGCGGCGGCGCGACGCGCGGGGTGCCTGGACGAGGCGGGCAAGGCCGCCCCAGATGATGATGATGATGATGATGATGATGATGATGATGATGATGATGATGATGATGATGCTGATGCTGATGCTGATGCTGATGCTGATGCTGATGCTGATGCTGATGCTGATGTTGATGCGGATGATGATAATGATACTGATGATGATGCTGATGCTGATGCTGATGCTGATGAGGTTGATGATTATGATGATGATTTTGCTGATGCTGATGCGGATGATGATACTGATGATGCTGCTGATGATGATGCTGATGATGCTGATGATGGTGATGACGGCAACGATGACGATGATGATGTTGCTGATGATGATGGTGGTGGTGATGGTGATGGTGATGGTGGTGGTGATGATGGGGATGATGATGCTGATGATGATAGTCATGATGATGCTGATGATGATGGTGTTGATGATGATGGTGATGCTGACGATGATGCTGCTGATGATGCTGATGTGGATGATGTTGATGATGATGCCGATGATGCTGATGATGATGATGATGCTGATTATGACGATGATGACGACGATGACGATGATGATGATGATGATGATGATCATGATGGTGGTGTTGGTGATGCTGACGATGATGGTGATGATGATGGTGATGTTCATGGCGATGGTGATGGTGATGATGGTGATGATGATGGTGGTGCTGATGATGATGGTGATGATGATGGTGGTGATGATGAGGATGATGCTGATGATGATAAAGATAATGATAATGATGACGACGATGATCCTGATGATGATGATGTCGATAATGATGATGATGATGATGATGATGATGATGATGATGATGATGATGATGATGATGATGATGATGATGATGCTGATTATTATGATGTTGCCGATGAGGATGGTGATGATGATTATTACCATGATGACGATGCTGCTGATGATGCTGCTGATGATGATTCTGACGACGATGCTGATGCTGATACTGATGATGATGCTGATGCTGATGATAATGATGCTGCTTCTGATGCTTATGATGATGATGACGATGATTCTGATGATACTGGTGAATACGCTGATGCTGTTGCTGATGATGTGGTGGTGATGATGAAGATGATCATGATGCTGATGCTGCTGATGATGGTGATGATGCTGCTGATGATGATGATTATGAGCATGATGATTGCGATGATGATGATGATGATGCTGCTGCTGCTGCTGATGCTGATGATGATGATGATGCTGATGCTGATGCTGATGATGATGATGCTGATGCTGATGCTGATGATGATGATGATGCTGATGATGAGGATGAGGATGATGATGATGATGCTGATGATGCTGCTGATGATGCTGCTGATGATGATGCT